ACGCAATTAAAGTCACCCGCAATTAGTCAAGGTTCGGTAATACCATCCCCTAGCAAAGCGAGATATTCCCATAGTGTCTTGCGTTCCAAAACGGTATATAGCGGATACACGAAAATAGCAATAAAAGAATTGGCCCTTGTCTGGATTTAGTTGGGATGGGAATTTAAATTAAATCGTAAGCTCCTATCAAAATCGCGATTCCAAGTTATTAAAAACGATTCAATGTGTAAAGTGCATCAGATTAGCAACAAAGTGCATCAGAAATAGGTAAATGTATATAATTTGGAATGGATGTGATCATACTGATTTATTATAGAATTTATTTCATCTTTATGTAAGGCATTTCTAACATTTTGAATATTCAAAAAAGACTAAAACTTAGACATCAATAATCAGGGCCGATCCTGTATGTTTAAATGCCTAGGGACGGAGAATTAAAATGGGCCGAATTTAAAAAGAATTGTAAAATCCTTTTCTATTTAAACTAACGTGCATAATAATAATATTTCAAGACATTTATAAAAAATTGTAAAATTCTCTTTTGTCTATACCAATGATATTATAGTATTAAATGTCCTTATTTACGAAAGAAACAATAGTGATCCTATTTGTGCATTTTACCAATGTTTTCATCTTATTTAAAGAATTAACTCAATTATTATCAACTCCTAAATTCCCCCCGTCCAATGATGTGACGATTCTTAATCATTTCATTTTCGGTAGCTAAATTCTTCTTCTCTGAGTTCTCATCTTGAGGAAGACATTCAGAATATGACTTGTTTACACAAAAGTACTTTTGCATTGAACCTTTTTACCTGGTGCCGTTTTCTCTAATTTTCCCTTCTTTTTCTTTATCCTAAACAGATTCAATCATTTTTATTAAACCTTGAAATTAAATAAATTTATAAATTTAATTATAATTGAGATTTTTTGTCTAACAAAATCAACAAATTATAACACTAACACTCAATAGATAACAACCAACAATTAAGAAATCAAACAATCAACTATGAACGAAATTAATTAATAAACTAATCATATAATCATATCCGACAAATCCTCTTCCAAGTGGATTTTTTAATAAAATTTTGTGAGCATGTTTTTAATTAAGTGTAGATTATGTCAATAAAATTTCCACTGAAAATTCAATCAAGAAGTCAATTAAATAAATTATTGGAAAACACTGCATCAAAATATGCATAAAAAACACAGTGTTTTTCTATAATTTATTTGACTAATAGAATGAATTCTTAAATTAATTTTTTTGACATAATCTACACTTCAAAGAGAACATGTTCATAACTTTTTATCAAACAAATCCACCCGAAAGCACCTCAAAAAAATATTGGTTTATGACTGAAAATTAGCCTACTCACACCTATTTTTCTTAGGCTCAGGCCTCGTCCCCCTAGTGCCGCCTCTGTCAATAATCCTACGTTCGGAAAGTTATACGCAAATGATATCATCTTGTTAACAATTTCACTAAAAAGAACCACCAGAAAGGAAAGTTAACACAATTAAGTGAAAGTTCATTTTAGGGGCAAATCCAGGAATGCGAGGTAAGGTGGGCTAAGTAGTAAAAAAAGTTTTTACTCCAGATACAATGTTTAACTTAACTCGAGCCTATATTGATCACTTATAAGTTATATGAATAAATTATAGGAAAGTTAAATAACTCGAGCCTATATTGATCACCAGAAAGGAAAGTTAACACAATTAAGTGAAAGTTCATTTTAGGGGCAAATCCAGGAATGCGAGGTAAGGTGGGCTAAGTAGTAAAAAAAATTATTACTCCAGATACAATGTTTAACTTAACTCGAGCCTATATTGATCACTTATAAGTTATATGAATATATTATATATGGATTATATCTTAAAATTTAAATGTCTTTAGTGCGATTTTATAAATTTATTAATGATTATAGCATTAAGAATTCGAGTACTGGTTGAATAATTGAAACATGAATCTATTAACGAGCATAGTTTAAATTTCTACATTCAAGCATGTTTATCGAGTTTATCAAGCGTTTGAATCGAACACTGGACACCTATCAAGCCAATTAATTCGAGCTCCATAACGTACTAGCTAAATATTCATTTCGTCGTTTTGGTGTACCATGCATATTAATGGTAATTTTATATGTACAATGTATGACCATTTACACGTTAAGCTTTTGTATATAAATTATTCTCTAATCTTCAATCGTATATGAAATTATGATGTATTAAAAATTAAAAGAACTAAAATTATGAATTATATACATTTTAAATCAATCTTTAAGACCTTCACTAATTTGATAATATCATTAATCATTATTATAAGGGAAAATCGCACTTTTAGTCCCTGAAATAGTTATCATATTGAAATGTTAGACCCGTATTCCCGAGTTTGTAAATGTCACCCTTCAATTGTTCAAATTTCTATAAATGTGGTCCGACATTTCAATTTAGTCCCTCCGAGTTTGTATATTTCCGGGTGAAATATACTCCTCGTCCACATTGTACATTGAAGTATAAATCACATTTAGAACAATTTGGACAATTCAAGGGTGTCATTTACAAACTCGAAAATACGTGTTATTTTCAAGGATTACAAACTCGAAAATACGTGTCTGACATTTCAATATGTTGACCATTTCAAGGATTAAAAATGTTATTTTCCCTTATTATAATAAATAAACATCATTGAAGAGCTAGAGTGCTGCACTCTGGACTGTGAGGTATGAAGCATAGGAGGGTTATGACATTAGTGCCTTACGGGCAGGATTGCAGGAAATTAGGCTTACACTTTTGATGTTTTTACTTGAACTGTTTTCAGATCGGACCAGATCAGACTTAAACAAATCAGACTTAAACAAATCAGACTTAAACAAATCAGACTTAAACAAATCAGACTTAAAAAGATCAGATTAGACTTCTATAGTTATTGTTAGAATCCCACATCGGAAAAAGTTTCAATCAACAAAGTGCTATATTAAGACATGAGCTACTTCTCTTATCAGGTTGACCTTTTAGGTTGGAACATCAGGTCTTAACATGGTATCAGAGCCAAATCGATCCATAATCATGGTGTGGGCCCCCTTATGAAAAGTGACGACACGATTAAAAAAAATGACAATGACGAACCGACGAAAAAATGACTGACGACACGATCCAGACGAAATGTCTGGTCATGAGGAGGGGTGTTAGAATCCCACACCGGAAAAAGTTTGAATCAACAAAGTGCTATATTAAGACATGTGGTACTCCTCCTATCAGGTTGACCTTTTAGGATGGAACCTCAGGTCAGTTATAAAATACGAAGTACACAGAGATCAAATATTTAGCAGACCAGACCAGTTCAGACCAGACTTAAACAGATCATACCAAACCAGACTAGACCAGTAAATTACAATCCAAGTAAAAATATCCTTATACCTTTATAAAAAGTTGGGATGAGGTGGAGCTAGCTCACCTGAGCCCCTACTACCATCTGTCCATGGTTCATTTTTTGGATTAATTAAAAGTTGGAATTATTATCTATAACTTTTTCAGCTGATATTATTTTTATAAAATTCTTAAAGTAGAGATTATTAACGTCAATTAAATAAAATAGACTACTATTACAAAATGACCTTAGTATAGAAATTCAAACCAGTGTTCAAAGTTCCCTGTTTGGCCGGTGTAATACGTGTAGCAGTAAATTTGCCAAATGTAGGGTAAACTTAGAGAGTCATTGTGTTTTCCACATTCAGTTATGGCACTATCAGTTTAAGTTGACTTTTCGCCTAATACAAGACGCGGCATCACAATGTCACTTCCACTAAAACACGTAATCGATTACGTGAGACGTTCACGGCTTTAATCAGCATACAATTGCTGCCTAATTAAGATAAGATCGCATCACACTCAAACCCACGCAAATGGACTAACAAACCTTTTAAAATACAAAAATTCTTTTTGTACACCTTCATATACACATTAGTACACCTTGGTGTCTGTGAAAGTTTTTTTTTCTGTGAATCTCAGTCCACAGACAAAAACATTCTCTTTTTTCTATAGAATTTTTCACAGACAAAACAAGCATGTTTTTATCTGTGGACTGAGATTCAAAGAAAAAAAAATCTCACAGACACGAGGTGTACTGATGTGTATAAGAAAGTGTACACCAAGAATTTTTGTTTAAAATATGAGTCACTTCCCTCGGTCACCAATAAAGTAGTAGAAATAAAAAAACAATAATATGTACTAAAAAACTAATCAGCTACCTGAAGATAATATAAATTTCTCAAACTTGCACATGTAAAAAGTACATAAATTAAATCAAAATACATAAAAAATTTATGAGGATGCAATTAAATTTAAATTTTATCGGATGTAATATTATTTGTTTCACAAGTGAAATTTTAGAATGTTAACTACATTCTAACAAAACTTATACGAAGTATTATTTTAAATTATGTAATTATTCCAATGCAATTACATTTGTAAAAAACTTACAATCATACTAGTATATATATAAAGTTTATATATATAAAGTTATATACTACTCCGTAGTATATAAATAACTTTTTATATAAATTTCAGGGTATATATATTATATAAAGTTCAAAATATATATACCCTGAAAATCTATGTAAGTTTGGGGTACTTAAGTAGCTCACATCTCAATAATGTTTGATGTATATAAATTATTATCCCCAAAAAATTATTACTTCAAAAATATGCATCAGTAGAGTTCGTTCAAGACTATTTACATACTACGTATTATATAAAGTTAAAGGTAGATTCTATGGTACCCATAAGGTACCATACTTTTGTCCACATGGACCAATGAAAATGTACCAGTTGAATTATTTAAATCTAAATTAAATATGATAAAGTGATGTGGTCCAATCAAATGAATGATAGGTACGGTACCCCATTTTTTAGAAAGGTACCGGAGTTGTCACCAAAGTTAAAATAATCAACGGTTCACAAATGGTTTCAAAATTAAAATGAAAATTAATAATGAATAAGAGTTCAAAGAAAGATTATTGTATTGTATATTGGTATGGTAAGTTGCTAACTCAGCTCAAAAGCAGATAACAAACTCATGTGACGAAAAAAGTAGTTACAAATATGGCTTGGGGGGGGGGGGATTAAATATATAGCTAGTGTTTGGTTAAACTCAAACACGGTAAAAAAAATTAACAGTTCACTTGATGTCTTCGATCAATCAAGAGAGTAGCAAATCTGCTTGAAAGTGGCCAAGTTGTCCTGGAACAAAGGAATGAAAGCGTCTATGCTTCCATCTCCTATGAAGGAAGGAAGCAGAAACATCATTCCTTCTGTTGGGTAGTATGAAGGCATGAAAATGTAGGGACAGCCAGTCCCAAAATCCAAGTCATAAAATGGGAACCTTAGCCAGCTATCAACCTCTAGATTAGGACGGAGAATGTGTTTGTCCATGTCGGCTGTCGGTACAAGACCGCCGTACTCTGCCTCCTCGGAGTTTGCAAAATCTATGAATGATCTGAAATAGTTGTTGTTCACCTTAGCGACGGCGTCGTGGATGAGTTTGGCGGCGTAAGGAAGTGGCTCACGCAGCAGGTCTTTAACCTTCGCCGTGGGAAAGGCCCATAGGACCAGGTTGCCGAAGTAGTCATTGGGTACTTTCGGGTTCAACCGTGCACGGCCATCCACAGATATCTTTATGTGGGTGCTTTCGTAGCCTCCGAGATTTCTTGCCTTGGTTATTGCCCGCCATAGATGCGCGACGAGGCTCTCGAACGTGCTGTATGGCCTCGCGTTGTTCGGTTTCATGGCGGAGGCCTTGGCCTTGAGTTTCGCTAGGAACTCTAAGGTGAAGTGGACTTTGTGAACCACAATATCGTCATCCAATATGAGTGTTTTCATCATGTCATCGTCAAGGAAATTGTCTTTTTTCATCATTTGCTTGGACGACGTTGTCTTGTATTCGGCTCCGACATGCTCATACTCGACCCTCGGGGGGTTTCGTGGGATGAAAATGGTGCGGTCACGGAGAGGAAATGGTTCGATCGGACCGAGATGGTCGCGACAAGCCTTTCCCCATGCAACCAAGAAATTGCTGGTTGAGTGACCATCAGCGATAAGGTGATGAGAGGTGAACCCGATCACGAGAGAGCCGCATGTGAAACGTGTGAGCTGGACTTGGACTAGTTCTGTCACGCCCTTCAAACTAGGATGAAGGTTGAGCAATGAGGAAGATGGCTTTAAGGGCATCACCTTGTTGAGGCTTGTGTCACCTACAGCTTCCACAAATCTAACCCCCTCATCATTGAGTAAAATGACGGGCTTACCCTTGTTGTCTTTGCCTAATCTCCCAGCCCATTCCCTATACACCGAGAGAGCTTTCCTGAGCCCCAACTCGATGGTGGCATTTGGAGGGGTGGGTGGGTGGTAGGCATAAATAACAGCCATTTGAGCATCATATGATACCTTGTCAAAGACGCTGAGGGGTGTGTGGCTTGTTTTTGAAGGAGGGTTTCCTTCATATAGAGGCTTGATGATTCTAGTGCTCTCTACTCTCACCTTCATGGCTTAGCCTTTGGGTATTTTGCACGAATTTAGTGGAGAGATTAGAGTGGATTTTGGTACACGAAATGGTGATTTATGTTTTGGTGGATGAATGGATAAGGCCGCGGCGTTTAGTATATATAGAAGAAATCATGCACGTAGCTGGCTTGTACTCTAACTCCAAAGTTGGCTAAGAATGTTGACTTTTCACATGTTGAATGCCACCTCCCCATGTGTTTTGCTGATTTGACCAACTCAACTATTGTTAGAAAACACCCCACCCCTCCCATACTTCCATATAAATTTTATTAGCGTTAATTTAGTGATAGTACATTTAAAATTTAATTTTTGTGTGATAGTTTGATATCTATTGTTTTATACTCCGTATAGTTTTAAACATAGTACATTCTGACTCTTATTGGCTAACAAAAAAATAAATAACATCACTTGTAATTCACACTTAGGATGTTTTTATTTGGACTGAAATTTTCTGGTCTGGTCTGATCCGATAAACGTCTGGTCTCTGTATATTTTATAACTATCCAAATCTGATCTTTTCTAATCTGATCTGATCTGGTCTGGAACTGAAAACAATTCAATTAAAATATTCTTAAAATTAAGGGGCTAACAAAAAGCTAAGGAGCATTGAATACATCCACTCTTCATGGCAAATTAATAGCTAAGTTAACATGTACCGGCCAATTCAATTCAATAGCACACTTCATGGCTAATTAATACTCCCTCCGTTCCTAAAAATTCTTCCCGGTTTGACTTGGCACGCTTATTAAGAAAGTGGAATAAAGTGGAAATGTGTAGTTGTGGTTGTGTAAGAAAAAGTTAAAATGAATGTGAGCCACACAAATTGTCCAAAAGGGGAAAGTGGGAAGTATTTTTGGGAACAACCCAAAAAGGAAAGTGGGAAGTATTTTTGGGAACGGAGGGAGTAAATCTTACCTACAAAAATAGGTAAAAAATAAATTAACATGTGCCGGCTAAATAGGACTCTACAATATTTATTACCCCAAACTAGCTCATATCAAATCGAATTTAAAAAGATCAGACCAAATTTAAACAGATTATATAAGATTAGACTTCAACAATTAAAAACTACTCAAAGGTCAGACTTTTGTCAGATAAGTTAAGACCAAATAAGACCAGACCAGAATTAAACAACCCAAACCAAACCAGGTCAGACCAAATCAAAAACTTTTATTCCAATTAAAAACATCCTAAATAACTTCTCTTCATAGCCAGTTACTATGTTAGAGATAAATCACCTACTAGCATAATATAATTTACGGCTAATTATATCGTTAGTCAATCTTTTCTATTGTTCCATATAGTATACTTGAGTTACAAAATGCCGATCTGTTTGCTATTAGTCATGTTAATTTACTCACTCGTAGATCTGGGCATATAACTGATAAATTTATTCACATCAAGGACATTTTGATGGAAAAGTAGACTTTTTGATCATTTGTCCTCATCTCCCTACCTATTTTCTTATGGTAGAATATTTCACGTTACAAGCTAACAAGCACATTTTAAATATTGGAAAGATATTTTTTTTAAAGGATGACACCCTATCCCTGAAGGCTTCTCAACCCCGATCGGATGATACTTTGGGAGGATGTAAATTGAATTATAATCTCAATCTGACAGATAGAGAGTGTGGCTTTGTCCCCGGTACTTGCAGAGGCTCTATACATTTGTACAGTGGAGGACCTAGGAAGGGGCCTAGGGGGGCAAGTGCCCCCGCTTTCGGCCATTAATTTCACTACTAGTACTTAGAGTAAAATCAGTGCCAAGAATTTCACTACTAGTGTGCCCCTACTATGACAAATCTCTGGGTCCACCGCTGCATTTGTAGCATAGTAACTTCTCATCGCAGTTGCCGGGATTCGAATTCGGGACCTAACCCTTGTGCCACTCCCTTGTTATCAGTTGAGCTACGCCACCGGTGAAAAGATATTTTTTATACAGCAATCATAAGTTGACTACTTTCAAGAGGAAAGAGGCCGGGGTCTCTGTTTAATACGAGTACGTAGTAATGGTAGTTGAATTGATGTTTCCTTTCGAGGAATATAAATACTCAACTAGCATATTCCGTTCTTTATAGCCTAAGATGTGTCTAGGTGCATCGCTTGTTCCTCACATCAATTTTGCTAGAATAAAATATAAGCAAAATGCAAAAATAGAAGTCTCATATTTTGAATAGGAGTAATTTTAATGTTTGGACAAATATACTCCTATCCAAGCTCCAACCCCAAACAACTTTTATTAATGATTAAAACATAAAAGAAACAACATTAACTAATTTATAATAAAATTGTAAAAAAATAAAAAACACAAAAATTTATATTAAATAAAATATACTCCGTATTAAATATATATAAAAATAAAAAATTATTAAAATAATAAAAACTTATTAAATTAAAAACTAAAAAATTCAAATTCAAAAAATAAAAAATGAAAAAAAAATATGCAGGCATATACCGCCGCCTCAACAACATCCCAGCACCACAAGCTCCGACCACCAAAAAAAATGCCAACATTTGTCCGAAATGTCATCATGATGACAGTTTTCGAGAAAATTTGGCATTTTCAAAGAAAAATACTCCCTCCGTCCCTTATAACTTTGCCAATTTTCCTTTTTTGATTATCTCAAAAATTTTGTCACTTTCCCTTTTAATCAATCAATTTGTGGCTCCTGTTATTTCTCTCTCCTTTGCACAAATCTTTACCACACAGTTTTTACTTTATTATTCTACGTGCCGGTCAAACTTGGCAATCCTTTTAGGGACGGAGAGAGTAACAATTTCTAAATAAAATGGATTTTTTTTCGCCGATCGGAGGTGGCATTGTTGGGTGATGGCCGAGGCTGCGGGAAAGGCCTGCATAATTTTTTTATATTTTTTAATGTGTTTTATCTATTTTTATTTATTTTTAAAGTTTTTTATTTTTAAAGTTTTTTTTTAAATTTTTATTATTTTAATACTACCTCCGTCCCTTAAAACATTGCCAAGTTGACCGGCACGGAGAATAATAAAGTAAAAATTGTGTGGTTGAGGTTTGTGCAGAGGAGAGAGAAATAACAGATACCACAAAATAATTGATTAAAAGGGAAAGTGGTGAAGATTTTTGGGACGTCCCAAAAAGGAAAGATAACAAAGTTTTAAGGGACGGAGGGAGTACTTTTTAAAAATATCTTAATTTTTTATTTTTAATAGGATCAAATAAGTCATTTTTAGAATTAATTAGATTAGGGGTAATAAGGGTAGACAATACTCCATCCGATTCGAAAAGAAGTTCCACCTTTCCTTTTCGGGCAGATTCAAAATTAAGTTCCACTTTCAAACATTTCCTTATTTGGCAAATTATCTACATCAAAACAGTGTCAAACAGTGTTCAAACAGTGTCAAACATTATTCAAACAGTGCCAAACAATGCAATGCACAATAAAGTCAAATTTATTTTCTTAATATGTGTGAAGTCAAATGTGGAACTTGTTTATGAATCGGAGGGAGTAAATGTTTACTCATATTGAAGAAAGTTTTAAGATTTACTCCTATTTTTACAATTATGTTTATGTTTACTCCTATATTGGGCAATTTCTAATTTTGCTACTGTCTTCTTCCCAAAAAAGTTTGTCAAATTAACCTTTCTTGGTTAATGATAATCAACTTTGATCAATTATATTTTTAATGCAAAAGTATTTAGAATATGAAAGTTATATTAAAATGTTCCGTATTCAAAATATTCTCACAAAGTACAAAATTTATAAATTATATACATATATAATAATGAAAATTATTATTTAAAGTTTGGCATCATTAATCAAGAAAAGTAAATATTCGAATCATTCCGAAAAGGAGGTAGTACTTGATCTTGGATTAAAGAAGAAAATTGGCTGGCGCACGTTGATGTCGAGATCGACGCTCTGAATGTTATCCATGATCTGTGCTTAGACTTTGTATCAACTTTGATTGGTGTACACCTGTAGAGTTGTCCGTGGACAGACAACTCGTCTGTTGGGGACAAACGTGTGTACACAAAAGGTGTACACAAAAGGTGTACACCACGCATTTTTCACTTTGTATTAGGGAGTGTCAGGTTATATGATTTGGAGAGACGATACACTGAACTAGTGAGGTGTACTTGGTATGAGGGAGTGTTTGCAGAAAATAAAAGTGCTTTTATGTTTTTGTTTGAAAAAAGTTGAAATTGGTGTTTTCAAATGACAACTTCTACTTAAATCAAGTATTTAAAAGCTAAAAGTTGGAAGCAGGTTGAGGGGTGAATTAAACTGTTTTTCACTTTTTATATTACACAAAAAAGAACTTACTTTATCAAACACTACCAACTTTTACTTTTTCAGAAGCACTTTTTTCTCAAACACTACCAACTTTTACTTTTTCAGAAGCACTTTTTTCTCAAACACTACCAACTTTTACTCTTAACCACTTTATCCAAAATCACTTCATCGTTTGTTATTTGATTTTTACTTTTTTAGTAGGAATCTTTCCACCTGTTTTTATTTTTTAGTTTTATTGGTACATTTTAAACCGCATTTTTTGAGTTTATCGATGAAAATGCAGGCATTGGCTTTTCTAATGCATTTGTTCGTAAAAAAAGGATGACACCCCATCCCCGAAGGTCCCCAACCCCGATCGGACGGTATGTTGGGAGGATGTAAATTGGACTATAATCACAATCTAAAAGATAGAGAACGAGGCTCTGTCCCCGGTACTTGCAGAGGCCCTATGCATTTTTAGCATAATAACCTTTCATCGCAGTTGTCGGGATTCGAACCCGGGACCTAACCCTTGTGGCACTTCATTGCTACCAGTTGAGCTATGCCCACCGGTTGCATTTGTTCGTAAATTATAGAGTATGCTACAACCGGAAGTAACATGTACACCGTACAGCCAAGTATTTTAATTTATACCTAATGTGTATATAGTTAAAATGAAATAAGTATTGACATTAAATTATAAAGGTAGTTGTTGGGATATTGACCTAGAGGCCCAATACCCAGATCGGGAAGGCCCAAGGTATCCGGCCCAAGTAACAGGCCCATCACTCCATGATGAAAAGATCCAGTAAGGAG